ACCACTCCCGCGGCTCATATCAGGTTTGGAGCCACCGCCGTGATCTATTACAAGGTTTGGGGCCTTGGCGGCCGCTTGTTTTCAGGTCCGGACCATTCCGGTATTTGTATCAGGTTCGAAACCGGCACCGTGGGTAGTTTTCAGATCCGGAATCATCACGGATATTTATTTCAGGCTCGGTAAGAGCCCGACAATGGAGCGTTTCAACTTCTATTACAGGTTCGACATCAGCGTGGAAAAACGCCACAGTTTTATTCTTGGGTCCACTATATGCTCGATGAATTGGGCATGGATTATCCGGTCGGGCCGTTGTTACCTGAGATTCTGAAATTTTGGCCGAGGCTCTATCCATTGAGGAGGATTCGCTGGAACCCTGGTCTGGAGCGGGTACTCCCGGGGGGGGGGGGCCTTTGAATGAGCTGGTACCGTCACTATAGCGACGCTGTAAGCCCTGGAGGCTGCGGTTTTGCACTGGAGGCGACGTCTAGCCAAGCCTGTTAACGGATGGGGTCCAGTCCCCTCGGTCTGCCGTGGCGTGAGAAGAGAAACGGCCTGCATATAGCCAGAGGAGGACATGCGGAAGGGGACGGTATGCAAGGTGTACCTGGCGCCCAGCGCAGGGGGATGCAGGCAGGTCAACACGTTGAAGCGCAAGCAACCATGGGGGAACAGTGTGCAAGGCGTACCCGCAATACCTAGCTCAGGGTGGAAGCATCGAGGGATTGCATGGGAGGTGTGTCCGGCGTCAGCTATTGCGGAGCATTCCAAGCACGGGGGAGACGCGTCGGCGCTCAGGCGGTTACTCTCGTGTGAAAGGGAGAGTGAGAGAGAAGAGGACTGCACAGCGGGAGCGAGAGACTGCGTGTGAGAGTGAGAGAGAGAGAGTGGACTAAGTGAGAGAGGGAGAGMGGGTGAGCGGTGTATGGAAAGGAGACCTKGCRGGAACARCCMGCWTCAGCCGATCAAGTACTCCYGCTCCTGGGAGGTRCGGACGGTAGAACAGCCAATCAAGCATTTGACACTCCCG